AGGTTTCATTCAAAAGGAAACAAAAATCCAACCATAGAAGCTTTGAAAAAAACTTTAGATCTTTCTTTTCAGTTTTCTTAATGTCTTGTTTCAGGAGTTTTCACAGAACACACTCCAGAAGTATTCCCAGAAATCCTCTGTAAACATGGTTCCTTCTTCTCAAGTTTCCATGGTCATAAAAATACCTCTCATTCTTGCTTATCTAGTAATTCTCTCACCATCATGCTTTTCTTTCCACTCATTTTCTCCTCTACTACATGCCCCCTCCCATGTGCCATAGACTTGTCTCACAACTAAAAGATGCCACCAGGGTCGGCCCCGTGGCCTAGTGGTTAAGTGAGCGCACTCTGCTGCTGGCGGCCCGGGTTCGGATCCCGGGCGCGCACTGATGCACCGCTTCTCCAGCCATGCTTCTCCGGCCATGCTGAGGCCGCGTCCCACATACAGCAACTAGAAGGATGTGCAGCTATGACATACAACTATCTACTGGGGCTTTGGGGGGGGGGGGGAATAAATAAATAAATAAATAAAAAATAAAAAAAATAAAAGATGCCACCGTAACTTCCAATCTACTGCAGGCCCTGTAAAGCCTCTTTAGGGAGGCTGGAGGATCTAGGGTCCTGATGCAGTCAGTGTAACATGTCTCCTCCCACGGAAAGAAGTAGATAGTGCCACTTGGGGAATGTAGTTTATCTCTGCCTTGACTGTTTTCCTTGCCTGAAATTCTGCAGTAATGAGGGAAGGTGGGAAGAGAGAAATAAGCAGCACAAAGCAATCCAAAATGCACAGAATATGACTGCCTCACCTCAATTCTCTCCATAGTCCCTTTATTGTTCTCCTTAGAAATTTGAGCCCCATTTTATCCACGACCTATGGTTGATCTCCTCTCCTTTGTCGGGTATGATTAGGTAGGTGAGACTTAATTAAGTCAATCTGTAACTAGATGTTAGAGCACTGTATCAATTAGCCTGATTTTGGCTGCACATAACAGAAAACCCATATCAAACCGGCTTAAACAATAAGGATGTGTATTAGCTCACATAACTGCGGGTCCAGAAGAAGGGCAGACTCCAGCCTATTTAATTCAATGACTGTAATGCTGTTTCTCTGGAAATCCCTCAGCTGTGGCCTTCTCTGAGTGTTGCCTTTGTCCTTAGATAAAATAGTAAATAATAGAACCTAACCCTAGAAACGTTTAGAAGAAGGGAGGCCTGTGTCTTGCTTTCCATAGCTCAGAGAGACATATCCACCCCCCTCAAAGACTCTGGTTAGACTGCCTTGAGGCACCTATGTATCCCTGAATCAATTGTTGTGACTTATCTATATCATGTGCCCATCTCATTGGCAGAACAAGAGGGATCCTTTAACTGATGGTCGTATAGAATCCTGAGGCAATGAGGAGAGGTAGTTCCCACAAGGAAGGGAGGAAGGGCAGACAAAACATAACAGACGTCCACTACGAGCCTGACAAATCTTACTACTCAGTTAAGGCATCTCTTGTGGCTTACAGAGTCATTTAAACCTTAAAATTTATAGTCACAAAAATCAGTACTGATTTTCTCAACTTGATAAAGAACATCTACAAAAAACCTACAGCTAACCTAACGTCATACTTAATGGTGAGAGACTTGAAACTCTCCCAGTAAGATCAGGTACAAGACAAGGATGTCCTCTCTCTCCACTACTTTTTAACATTGTACCAAAAGTTCTAGCTAACACAAAAATACGTGAAAAGGAAATAAAAAGTATACACATGGGGAAGGAAGAAATTAAACTGTCTGTTCATGGAAGACATGATCATCTGTGTAGAAAATCTGAAAGAAGTGACAAAAAATTTCTGGGAACAAATGAAAATAAGCGATTATAGTAAGATTGCAAGATACAGGGTTAATATTCAAAAGTCAATTGCTTTCCTATATACTAGCAATGAACAAATGGAATTTGAAATGAAAACCACAATACCATTTACATTAGCACCCCAAAAATGAAATACTTAACTATAAATCTAACAAAATATGTACAAGATCTATATGAGGAAAATTACAAAACTCTGATGAACAAAATCAAAGAAGGACTAAATAAACAGAGATATTCTATGTTTATGGATAGGAAGATACAATATTGTCAAGATGCCCATTCTTCCCAACTTGGTCTATAAATTCAATGCAATCTCACCCAAATCCCAGCAAGCTATTTTGTGTATATCAACAAACAGAATCTAAAGTTTATATGGAGAGACAAAAGAAGCAGAGCAGCCAACACAATATTGAAGAACGAAGATGGAGGACTGACACTACCTGACTTAAAGACTTACTGTAAAGCTCCAACACTCAAGACAGTGTAGTATTGACAAAACAACAGACAAATAGATCAATAAAACAGAATAGAGAGCCCAGAAATAGACCCACATAAAGATTATCAATTGATCTTTGACAAAGGAGCAAACACATTACAATGGAGTGAAGATAGTCTTCTCAAAAAGTGGTGCTGGAACAACTGCACATCCTCATGCAAAAGAATGAATCTAGAACAGACCTTATACCTTTCACAAAATATTAACTCACAACGGATCACAGGCCTAAATGTGAAATGCAAAACTATAAAGCTTCCAGAAGATAACACAGGAGAAAACCTAGATGACCTTGCGTATGGTGATGACTTTTTAGATACAACAGCAAAGGCATGATCTGTGAAAGAAATAATTGATAAGCCGAACTTCATTAAAATTTAAAAGTTCTGCTCTGTAAAAGACAACATCAAGAGAATGAGAAGACAAGCCACAGACTGGGAGAAACTATTTGCAAAAGACACATCTAATAAAGGACAATTATCCAAAATATACAAAAAACGTTTGAAACTCAACAATAAGAAAACAACCTGATTAAAAAATGGGCCAAAGACCTTAACAGACACCTCACCAAAGAAGATACATAGATGGCAAATAAACATATGAAAAGATGCTCCACATCATCTGTCATCAGGGAAATGAAAATTAAAACAACAATGAGATTCAACTACATGTCTATTAGAATGGCCCAAATCCAGAACACTGACAACACCAAATGCTGGCAAAGATGTGGAGCACTGGGAACTCTCATTCACTGCTGGTGGGAATGCAAAATGGTGCAGCCTCTTTGGAAGACAGTTTGGCAGTTTCTTATAAAACAAAACCTACTCTTACCATATGATCCAGCAATTGCATTCCTCGGTATTAACCCAAAGGAGTTGAAAACTTAGTCTACACAAAAACCTGCACATGGATGTTTACAGCAGCTTTATTCATAATTGCCAAAACTTGGAAGCAACTAAGATGTCCTTCAGTAGGTGACTAGATATACAAAGTGTGGTACATCCAGACAATGGAATATCATTCAGCACTAAAAAGAAATGATTTGTCAAGCCATGAAAAGACATGGAAGAACCTTAAATGCATATTACTAAGTGAAAGGACCCAATCTGAAAAGGCAACATCCTGTATAATTCCAACTATATGACATTCTGGGAAAGGCAAAACTATGGAGACAGTTAAAAAATCAGCAGTTGCCAGGGGTTGGGGAATGAGGGTAAGGGATGAACAGGTGATCACAGAGGATTTTTAGGGCAGTAAAAATACTCTGTATGATGCCATAATGATGGATACATGTCAATATACATTTCTCCAACCCATGGAATGTACACCAAGAGTGAACCAAAATGCGAACTATAGACTTTGGGTGATTACGATGTGTTAATGTAGGTTAATCAGTTGTAATGAATGTACCACCCTGGTGGAGGATGTTGATAATGGAGGAGGCTATCCATGTGTAGGGGCAGGGGATATATGGGGAATCTCTGTACATTCCCCTTAATTTTGCTGTGAATCTAAAACTGCTCTAAAAAAATAAAGTCTTAATAAAAAAAATCACTACCAACTCAACACTGGGTATGTTTTCTTTGCTTTTACAAAACTCAAGTAAATTTTTTAGCAGCTTTGTTCAGTTAGTGATATAAAATACTCTGGTTGGTGTTAAAATTTATGTGCAAAATCTTTAAAGCAAATGACCAACTTTAGAGATGGCAAAATATATATTTGCCTTCAAAGACAAAATTATATTTATATTCCATTATATCATACAAAGGAAAATTTTATTCATCTACTTATACATATGAGAAACTTTTCTGCTCTGACATTGATCTTTTACTAAAGAGTTTGAGTGAAAACCACTGCAAATTTTAGAATGAATTCATTTTCTAAAAATAGCTTTGTATCTGCATTCAACCAACAGAAGAACTTTAGCAGCTTCAAACTAAAAACTTTTGTCTACTCAATATATACCAGTGTCACACGCCATATACATATGTGTTTGTACCTTGCTCTCATTCTACAAAGTGTATTCACTTCTTACGTATACTCTCAGCTGTGTATTTAAATCCTTTAAATCCATGGCCTCCTTCATGCTGAACATAGTCAGGATAGTGGAAAGTGCATTCTGTCGCTGTAGCTCTGTTTAGTATACCAAGAGTCACAAATTTGGTTTCTAAGTGGTAGCATACAACTCCAGAAAAGCTTGCCTCTCCTTTTGCTATGGTGGTTTATTGAGCACAAAACGCGAAGGCGTACAGGAGCTAGCTTCCAGGCTGGTCTATTTTCTCCGAGAGCGCTAAGAAATTTGTTCCAAAGTTGGTCACAGGTAGCTAAACTGACCTAGATGATGTTTAAAATAAAACTCAAACACCGCATTTAAAAATATTAAGACTAAGAAGAAAAAGACAATTGAGACAGCAAGAAGGAAGGAGGGGGTCTTCTCACGGGACTTGCTTGGCCTGCTGCATTCCTAGGAACTTCGCAGTACTCCACCTCCTCCCTCGGGCCAGTCCGCGGGAGTCCAAGGGGCGGGCCACCTTCTGCCCAGCCTCCCCGGACAGCAGCCTCTGGGCGCCGCCCCCTATCCACCTGGACGCCCTCTGGATCACGCCTCCCCCGAGCGCCCCGCCCAGCCGCAGTCCAACCCGCGCGGCGCGAGTTAGCGCGCTGACGTCCGACGCTCCAGGTACTTTCCCCGCGGACGGCGGAGACCGGCGTGGGGGCGGGGCTGCGAGCGGAGCGCGCATGCGCTGCAGCGCCAGCGCGCTCCCCGGATCGTCGTGCGGGGCCTGAGCCTCTCGGCTGGCGCAGGCTCTGCTCGCGCCAGGTCGCTCCCGCCGCCATGTCTGCTACCATCGAGCGGGAGTTTGAGGAGTTGGATGCTCAGAATCGCTGGCAGCAACTGTACTTGGTGAGTCGCGCGCATCAGGCGCTGTCCTCCTCCGAGGACCCGGGATCCCGCCCGTCTCCCCCGCCTCCCGCTTGGGGCGGAAGTGGCGGCGCGCGGGCCGCGTCAGGGGCGCGCCTGCGCCGACCGAGTCTTCGGTCCCTGTTGAAAAAAAGATTTTCGATGAGAGTGCTAATCGTAAGCGCAAGCGCAGAGTTAGTTCTGGAAGGTGGCGCCACAGCGGCGCCTTGTGGTGGGCGCGGACGTGCTCCGTGGGCCGGGGGGTCCCGGGAGGCCGGGGCTGGCGGTGGGTGACCAGTGAGGCCCGCGGGCGAGCTGAGAGACGGCGGGGGGCGGTGAGGCCGCGCGGGGCCGTGGGGAGAGGCGGGGGACTGCGAGGCCGTGGGGGCTGCTTGGGGAGCGGGCTGCAGCCTCGCGGTCACTCGCACGGCCCTGTGCCTGGCTCTGCCCGCGGACACCTTTTCCGCCGGCCAGGTGTTCTGTAGCCGAGCGGGCGGAGGCCGGCCGCGGCACCCATTTCCGAAGGCGCGGCCGGCTCTTGCTTCGGTTGCTGTGGGTGGCTCCTGGGCGTCTCGAAGCGGCAGTGCCCGAACCGTAGTGGCGGCGAGAGCTCCTGGCGGATCAGCAGACTTAATTTTGTCAGAGCCCAGTGTCTCAGCGTGTGGGTCGTCCTCCACAAAGAGCTTCCAGGAACGAGAATAGGCTTTGTATAGTTAAATAAGGATGTCGTTCTATTTTTAATTTTTTTTTACGGAGGCATACGTTACATACAGTCAAAGATCTTATGTATGTAGTTAAGCAAGCTTCATAAATGTGTACATCTGTGCGAGCACTACTCAAATCAAAATAAAGAACCTTTCCACCACCCCAGAGGGTGCCATCGTGCCCCGTCCTCCACCCCATAGGCCACCACTGTTCAGATTTCTTATCACCATAGAATAATCTTGCCTGTTCTCGAACTCATAAATAGAATCGTATGTAGTTGAACTCTTGTGACTAGCTTCTTTAGATTAACTAGAGAACCTTTTAATTCAAACAGAACTTTTCTCTTTTAAAATGATTTAATTGCTTGTTCTTTATTGTTTAATTACTAGTATATTATTCCCCAAATTGAATTGAGTGGTGAGTTAAATGCTGCTCCTGTTGTTCGGTTCACTCTGTAAAGTAAAAGGGAAAAAAAGGGCTTTCCTGTAAATCTGGATGATCCTGGGTGTTTCCCCGTTCCATTTAATTAGATGACAGTAAAAAATGTTTCCTTTGTCGTTATGTTTAGAATGTAACATTTTCTTCTTGAACACATTAGCAGGAAGTATAATAAATACCCTGATTTACATGAGTACAGAGTGTGTTAGAACAGGGTACTAACTTTAAAGAATGCTGGTAAGGACTTCTCCGATTATAGAAAATTTTAAATGCAAATTCTAGTAGGAATCTTAATGTAAGAGCCTACCAGCTGTCTTCTCTAGTTACATTTGTTTTAGTGGAGGCTGCTGTCTCCAAGTTGCTAGTGATATATCAAAATGCAGATTTGAGAGGAGAAAGGTGAATGGCTACAACTTAGTTCAGCTTAACATTTTGGTTAAGCAGTTTGATTTTTTTTGTTTGGTATCATTAACATCCTTGAAAATTCAGTGAAAACGGTAATCCCTCACCAGAAAAATGCAGTTACTTACATCCGCTCAAAATTGCGCCTTCAGTTTCGAGGAGTTAAGGAAACCCTTCCATGAACTTGTGCCTCAGAATCCTTTAGTTCAGTGGGTTGGTCAATACAGTAGAAATCATGCAATACGCACTGGTTGTTATAGTAAGAGTAGGTCACAAAGTTAGTAATGAAAAGCAAGTCTAGGAAAAGTTTAGACTAAGTGTTTTCCTTTGACTCGAGAATATTCATTCAGCCATTCTGCAAATATGTACTGAGCCTCAGTGGTGTGCCAGCCCTTGCTCTGGGCCTTGGAGATTCAGCAGAGAATGCCACTGACAAAGTTCCTGCTCTCGCGGAGCTCACATTCTAGGACTTGTTCTCTTGAGGGCCTCATTGCAATTCCATATTTTCATTCATTCACTTATAACACACCTCTTATGTGCTGGTGTTAGACTGAGTCCCTGCTCTCAAGGATCCAGCCTTGTGGGGAGTAATAAATAGGTAAGCAGGTGAAAACATGAAAGTAATAAATGCAAAAGCTAGTGTTAAGTACAGGGTGCTTACATTCCCAAAGGGGTGCACCTGGGAGTTCTGGTGATGCTTCCTGGAGGAGTGAGGGCCTTACCTAAGTGTTGAAGGACAAGTTGGCCAGGTGAAGAGAATGAGGGAGGGGGAGAGAATTAGTGTTCCTGAGAAGGAAGAAATGTGTGTAAAGGCACAGTGCATAGAATGCCAAGAGAACTGCCAACAATTTAGTCTGGTAAGGAGTGTGGTCTGAAGTTGAGGTGCTGGAGAGATAAGGCCAGAGAGTAAGACAGAGCCTCTGAGGCCCTTGGAGATCAGACTAAGGAATTTGAGCTACTTGATAGGACTCACCAAGGAATTTTAAGCCCAGAAGTACGACGATCATATTATATTTATTTTTAGCATGAGCATTCTTCTACCAGTGGGTTGGATGGGGCTAAGTCTAGGCAGGTAGCACAGGCAAGTGGTCTGTTGGAGTAGACCTGAAGAGAAATGTTGAGCTCCTGAACAGTGACGGTGGCAGGAGGAATGAAGGGGAGATACAGATTTGAAATGGTAAGGGGATAGATCTGTTTGGTTTTGAAACTGTTCAATTTGAGGTATCTGTAAGACATCGAAATGGAAATAGTTTAATATATAAATTTGGAGTTCAGGAAAGGTCTGAGCTGTAAATATGATTTTGGAAATCATGAGCACATAGGTGATGTTTGAGGTCCTAGACGTGGATAAGATCACCCAGGGAAAATACAGAGGCTTGGAAATGCTGAAGGCCAAGGAAAGAATCTTGACGGACGACAACATTTAAAGGTGTAGGTAGAGAAAGAGGAGCTTGCAAAAATGACTGGAGAGGAATAGCCATAGAAGTGGGGAGAAAATCGGTGGTGGGGTGTGGAGGGAGTTGATGGTCAGCAGGACCACATGCTGTGAATGGGACAAATAAGGTCAAAACTTGAGAGGGCCCATTGAATCAACGACTAGAAGATCAACAAGTATCTTAAAGAGAGCAATTTCAGTGGAGTACAGAAGTCAGATGCCAGGCATTGAGAAGAGAAGGTGGAAAGAAGTACAAAGGAGCAAGAGCAAGTGTTGAGAAGCCCAACTTGATGGGATGGAGTGGGGAAAGGTAGCTAAAATAAAGCATGATTATGTGACTTCTCTACTTAAAACTTTCAGTGATTTCTCGTAATGTAAAATTCAGACCCCTCCTATGGCTCACAAGACCACATGTCCTGCCTCCCCATATGACTGTCTTCCCTCTTTTCCACTAGGTTCTGTTCCTTGAAATGTGCATGTCCATTCTCTCCTTAGGGCCTTTATAAATGTAGTTTTCTTTGCCTTATCACAACTTTTCCCCCTTTTCTTTCCCCTTTTGCTTAACTACCTCCTACTCATCCCTGAAGTCTCACTTCCGTACGGGGCCTTCCCAACCCTCCCATGCAGGGTATGATCCCCTCTTACATACTTCTGTAGCATCCCACCGACTTCCCCTTTAATAGCAGTGCATTGGATGTAGTGCAGCAGCAGATTATTTAGGGAACACAGTTTGCCTTAAGCAAACCACTATTGCTTGAGTAGGGAAAAAGTATTTAGGCTTTCTGCTTTGTACATGACAACAGTGTGTGATATTTATAATCATGTTTGAGAAGAGTTGTGCTTTTTTGGCAATCCTAATTGGACTAGGAAAAGAAAGGCTTTACTCTTGAGCAAAACCTCGATGTAACTAAAAGCTAGACTTGCTTAGTGGTATGAGAACTTACACTTTATACCTTATTGACGGTCTTGCAGGAAAAATGAATTTATTTTGAGTCTGAAGCTCTTCTGTTCCCTTACTCTTTTTAACCTCATTTGAACAGTTGCTTTTATAACATAACTGTTGATAATGGGAGGTTTCTTGGGAATGAATTGAGTTGGACCAGAACAGACTATTAGTTCGAGTTTATCTTCTTCACTGCCTCATCAGAGCTTCATGTAGGCAGTGCCAATGCCTTGCGCAGAATCAGGCACCTACTAGGCACTTGATAAATATCTGTTGAATAATGACTTCTTACCAGAGAAGGGTGACTTGATATGTTTACATGATTAGGAGGATAAGCCTAACGAGAGAGATTGGAGGTTGAAGAAATAGGGATAGTTTTTGGAGCCAGAAACCTTGGAAAACAGGAGCTGGTGGGATCAAGAGCACACAGGTGGAAGATTGGCCTCAAAAGGGCACAATTGGCAGAGGTGAGATTGCTGGAAAGGTCTTAATTTGCTCTGACTGACAAACTAGTAACATTATTGTAGTCTGAGTTTAGTTCTGCTTTTTTGAGAAATATTCATGAATTGCTTTTTGCCTTTCCTTTAGTCACTACTGATTGCTGTCTGAATCAGGCTGGAGCATGAGAAGGGCAGAGAAAAGGAATGGAGTTTTGTGAGCCTGTTGGAGAAGAGAGTAAAACTGTAGGGAAATGGCAAAAGCTAAGTCATGGAATAATGTTTCTAGTAAGTGGTGGCTCGGAAGGAATTTGGTTAATTAATCAGACTTTAGGAACCATTGAGCTCTTAACTGGTCATTTTTCTTTATTAGAAATAGTTCACATATTATCAGAGTAAGAGCAGTTTTTACGATTTGTGAGTCAGCTAATTTTTAGAAGTAAGTTATCAAGCAAACTTTATTCTTTTCATACTTACAGTGGGCAGCCAGTTAGGCAGGATGAATCAAAGCTGTCTTATTCTAAAACACTTCCCGGTACAAATTCTCCTACTATTGTTTGATCTTAGCGCTCAGTGCTTTTACATGGTTGCACAGGCCTTTGCTGTATCAAACTCCTTGAATTTCCTTGAAAATCACCTGCTT